ATCAAACTATGCCACTGACATTTACATTTAAGGCCAGGAGCAGTGGTTTACACCTGTAATCCGGGCACTTTGCGAAGCCAAGCCTTGAGGATCCTTTGAGGCCAGGAGTTTGAGACCAGCCTGGGCAACATATAAGATCCTGTCTCTAAAAAAAATTTTTTTAAAATAAATTTACATTTATATTCAAATATGTAAGTTAAGAGCAGGCATTGATATCACATTTCCCCAGGAAGTCTCTATTGCATTCAGTTTTAATTAAAACTGAAAAAAGCAAAAGATCTTAGACTGTAAAGTTGGAATGTGGCATCAAATGAAAGTTATTTTACAAACCTAAATTTAAAATATCCCTTTTGGAAAGATGTTTATTAATCGTAAAATATGTTTTTCAGCTGTTACCTGCAAATTTTTGTTCTTAATTTTAATCTCGATAGGTTGAGATTCTTACTTTAATTAATTATGAACCCCAAATTAATTCTAGATAGATCAGTGTTTACACAGAAGAAAGTGAAGTCATAAGAAAAAAAAAAAGGAAATATTGGTGAGAACTTTTGAATAACCTTTGGATGGAAAATGGCTTTCTACTGTACTACCAAACTCAGGAACCACAGTGGAAAATAATCATAAATTTGACTATAGACTTTAAAAAATCTCGTTGTAGCAGGAATCTTCATAAAGTAAAAGCACAAACAAATGTATTTATAACAAATGGCAATAAACAGTCTGATTTCCATAAACTATACAAAAAGTTCTTTTAAATTTGTTTTTAAAATAATAGAAAAATGGGAAAGGTAATTCACATATGAAGAAATACAAATGGCCAATGAATATAAGATACTCAGTATCAATTATTAAAGAAATTCAGATTAAAGCTTTACTTCTGAAAGTAAGCTAATTATTTACAAGAAAGTGTAATACTTTCAATCAACCAGCTGAATTATTTTATCTCTTCCTGAATTTTAAACTTGCCATGCATACCTTTAGCAGAATCTTCAGGAAATGATTTCTGTGAAAATGACCCCTTCAACAATTAGAATGACTAAAAAAGAGAAAAGACGATCTTATAGGTTCACAAGGATGCAGAGCAACTGGAAGTCTCTTTCATTGCTGGTGGGAACGCAAACAGCTCAGTCATTTTGGAAAACACTTTGGCAGTTTCTCATGAAGTTAAACACACGTTTACCACATAATGCAGCAATCCCACTCCTAAGTATTTACCCAAGAGAACTGGAAACTTTTGTTCATATAAAAATTGTGCGTGAATGTTTCTAGCATATTTATTCATAATCATCAAAAACTGGGAACAATCCAAATATCTTCAACTGTTGAGTGGGTAAACAAACCATGGCACGTCCAAACAATGGAATACTGCTCAGGAATAAAAGGGAACAGATTTTATTCATGTAACGACATAGATAAATTTCATACTAAGTGACAGAAGCCAAACTCAAAAGACACATTTTGTACAATTCCGTTTACCTGACATCCTGGAAAATTATAGGAACAGATCAGTGGTTGCCAGGAGTTCAACATGGGGGCTTGGGTTGATTACAAAAGGGCAGTGTGAGGAAGTTTGGGGGGTGATGGAACTGTTCTGTCTTGATTATGGTGGTCTAACTGCATGCACTTGTCAGATTCATAGAAACACACACCAAAGAAGTTAATTGTATTGTACATAAATTAAGTGAATAAAAGGCTGATGTCTTTCTAAATTATTGTATTAGATTGAAAGCAAAACAGGTTACTATTTCTCCTTTTCTTGACTTAGATTTGATTATCTACATTCTTTTATTTTCTGAAGTAGACTTCTACATTGATGTGTAACATACATATAAAAGTGCACATATCATACCTGTAAAGCTTGATGAACTATTACAACTGTTATGTGTTTAACCAACTGCCACCCAGATCAAGAGACAGGCTGGGCACAGTGGCTCACTCCTGGAATCCGAGCACTTTGGGAGGTGGCGGTGGGAGGCTTACTTGAGGCCAGGAGTTTGTGACCAGCCTGGGCAACACAGAAAGACCTTGTCTCTACAAAATACAAAAATTAGCTGGGCATCGTGGCACATGTGTGTGGTCCCAGCTACTCGGGGGGCTGAGATGGGAAGATTGCTTGAGCTCAGGGGGGTCGAGGCTGCAGTGAGCTGCGATTGTGCCACTGCACTCCAGCCTGGGTGACAGAATAAGACCCTGTCTCAAAAAAAAAAAAAAAAAAAAAAAAAAAAAAAGGACATTACCAGAAGCCCCTCCCTTACCCGCTTAATCTTCCAGAACCAGTATTCTGACTTCTAACACTAGAGATTATGTCTGTTTTTGAGCTTTGTGCAGACAAAATCATACAGTATTGAATGTTGCACTCTTGATAGGTTTACTTATATTTCAGATTCGTTTTGTGTGTAAAGCAGCATAGATATGTCAAACAACAATGAGGAGGCTAGACTGGTCAAGCACCATGATCACTTCTAGGTCTGAAATGAAGTCTGAGAGTTGAGAGAACTCTGACATACTTTTTGTTTGAAATACATTTTTGGCCAACCAAATAGCCTTTTTTGTTGTTGTTGTTTAAAGCTAAAATAAAGGCATTTGGGAAATGCACACCATATTGTTTCTTTATGATCTCCAGAATTATATTTTTCTCCAGTATTATTTTTCGTAGTATGGGTAGACATCAGTCTTAAAATTGGCCTGACACCCTGATCCTGTCATACGATACATCCTTGGTACTTCACCCAGTGATGATCTATGAACTTTTCCTGCTTTGTTCTTTCGAGATCAGGCTTGACTTTTGCTCGGTTATATTTAAAGCTGTGGGGAGAAGAGACTTCTTGAAAAATATGGTACTGAAGCCTCCTGTAAACTTGAATATTTGGAAACCTCCAGTAAAAGTAAATCCATATGGCAGGACTGGTCCCAGCCTGATTCCTGCATAATTGGGTCCAAGATCCTTTATGAACTTGTGTGAGTGTGTGCGCACAATCTTGTATATGCTCTTTGTGGTGGAAGTCAGTTATGCTGGTTTTTGTTTTTGTTATTCTTTCCAGTGAGAGAACCTGGAGTATCAGTTCTGAGTTTCAGGGTTGGGGCAGGTTTTATTTTCTTAACAGTAACCAAGCCACAAAAGGGAAAAACAAAACAACCTCTGACAATCAAAAAATGTCTTGAAAAATAATATCAGTAACAAATACTAACTTTTAAGAGATCAACAAATTCAAAACCTAAATTAAATATTACAGCCTTGGATCCTTTTTACAAGCCTGATGGACTGGAGTCAGCCCCAACCACACAGCTCAAGTGAAGGATGCCCTCAAGCTGGGTGTGACCAGCGGGGCCACCAAACCATGGATTCCTTGGTTATTATAACTCAAAAATACTCAAAAGACTGGCCTTTGTGAACAGGGCTCAGCCAGAAGATTCTTCATTGTATTCACTCATTTCCTCTCTCCACCTTTTATTGTTAGAATTCCAACTCTAACACTTCTCACCCTTCACGGGGAGAGTTTTAATGCAAATACTTTTATTTTTCTTTTTTGCTGTTGTTTATTGTTGTTAGTTTCCAAATTGAGATCTTGGCAAGATTCACTGATGAAATTATAAACCACCCCTATGGGACTCAATACAAGTTGGCACTAAGAGTCTACAAATAAAGTCATAGAATGTTAGTGTTGGAAGTCTAATCGGTTTCATTCTGCAAAGGAGTGACTGGGCTCAAAGAAGGTACATGGCTCGCCTAAGGTTCCGTAGGTAATTAGTGGTGGAGGAGGACCAGTATCTTGGAAGCCTCCAATTTTCCAGTCAAGCACTCTTTTCCTGTTTTATTTTTCATTCTCCCAGAATGTACTTAGGTGGGTTGGATTGTTGCAGTTGGAAGCATGTGCATTGGAGTCGTGTCTCAGGGATTTTAGTTAAGATGTTTAGTTAAAGGGATTTATTGGATCCTGTAACTGAATAGTCTGAGGGAGGGTGAACTTTGGGAATGGTTTGATTTGGCAGCTTCATGACATCTTCCAAGACAAGGCTTCTCTTTCATCTTTCCATTTAGCCTTCGTGGTGTCATCTCTTTGTGGTTAATATATAACTGTCAGCAACTCTCTGGTCTGCATGTGTCTTCATGAGGACCTAGGAATTGAGTGCAGGGGTCATTCTGGAAGCTTCCAGAAGACTTCATCAAACCTTTCTCCACATCCCACTGGCTTCTGTGGCAGATAGGCCCATTTCTGAAACTTCGGCTGCAGTCGGGGGATCAGGTTATACTGATTAACTTAAGCCTGAGCAAATGTGTTGTTCTGAAATCAGTCCCCTTCCCCTGAAGCATGTGAATGGCGCTAAGAAGTGTGGATAACAATGAAATCAAGGTAGTTGCTAAGAAAGGGAAAATACACGTCAGGAGGCGACTCAATGTCTACAATAGTTGTAAGTATCAGAAACCAACCTGAACTAGCTTAAACAAGGGTGGGAATTTATTACACAGATACAGGTGTGTCTCATGGAGCCCGAGGCCAGGGAAGCTGCAGGGTATGGGGGAGCGGGGTGGGAGTCAAGAACCAGAGATCCATCAGGAACCTAGATCATCACTCTGCCCTGCCCTCCCTGCTCCTCTTTTCCCCTTCCCTCTCCTCCCTTCCCCTCCTTCCTCTCTCCACTGATTAGCTGTCTCAGAATTTTTTTTGAGACCGAGTTTCACTCTTTTTACCCAGGCTGGAGTGCAATGGCATGATCTCGGCTCACTGCAACCTCTGTCTCCCAGGTTCAAGTGATTCTCCTGCCTCAGCCTCTGAGTAACTGGGACGACAGGCACCCAGCACTACCCCTGGCTAAGATTTTGTGTGTTTAGTAGAGACGGGGTTTCACCATATTGGTCAGGCTGGTCTCGAACTGCTGACCTCAGGTGATCCGCCGCCTCGGCCTCACAAAATGCTGGGATTACAGTCATGAGCCACCGCGCCCGGCCGCTGTCTCAGATTTCTGATTCCTCATTTCTATTTGGCCAGCCTGGGTCAAGTGTCCACCTTGGGAGGAGCAGAATGCACTAACACAGGTAAGGCTGCCAGGCCCCTCCGTGTGGCGGTGTGGGGTGAGATGGGGGGCCTGGTGGGCCCGTAGTTCTTAGAGCATTGAGACTAAGATGGACCCCCAGAGGGCGCCGTGAAAAGGGGATTTTCAGCCCTGGGTCATGATTGTGCTCCAAGGTGCCTGGTGGTTCTGGGGCGCAGCCGACTGGGGAAATGCCCCCATGGGCGAGACATCTGTTGCCAGTGTCACCCCCCCGCTCCTCCCGTGGTCCTCAGGTGTGGAGTGTGGAGGGAAGGATGTCAGGAGGGGGAGAAGCAGATGACATGGGTAAGAAGAGAATTCTTACTTCTAAATGGCTCCAACGGAAATTTGCAGCCATAAAACCGAAAGGAGGTGTTTGCTGAATCACAGGCACATTTTTCTGGTGTTTAAAGCTAAAGGTAGGCAAGGACGTTAATGAGAACTAGTCCACAATGATCTCTTTCAAACCCAAATCTCCGTGCCGATGATCTCCACGGGAGCCAGGGCGCCGCCTCCCCCGAGGAGATAGCACATTCCCAGGCTTCTCAGACTCAGGTGCCCGCTCTCTGTTGACTCTCTGCAGCCCCACCCTTTCCTCCGGGAGGTGAGTCACGGTGCTGCGGCGGCAGTGTCTGAGGTCTGAGAGCAAAGTCAGAGACGACTCTTTTGGGGGCTTGAAACTGTCCATTGCAGCGAGGAGTCCTTTCGGTGCCACCCTTGAGGGTACACCTATCAGAGCTTTTGTCTGTTTTACAACTTCCTCCTAAACCTAGAACAATGGACTTAGAAAGGGGCAGGAAATCTATGCGTGTCCACTCCAGGGAAGGGGGCGTGGGGAGCATTGTTGGTGCCTTTTAGGTTATGTCATTTAATACAGGCTGGGGTTAGTGGGTTTGAAAACTGGAAAATTTCAAGACGGTCTCACTCCAAGTGCCCTCAAACTTCCCACAGGAGCAGGATCATTCTGAGAGACTAGCAAAAGGTATATAGGATCATTTTGAGAGACTAGCAAAAGATATACAGGAGAGAAAAAAAAAAGGTAAAAAGAAAAAAACAAAAAAGAAAATAATAATAAAGTATGCAGGGGAAGCCATTCAGATTAGCCAAAAGTTAAGGACTTAAGAACAGGAAAACCCTAAGGTAGACCTCATTAAAGGTGAGGTTTTATTAAGGAATTTGGTTTTAGTGCTAAAACCCAAAGGACAGAAGAGAAGGAAAAAGATGGGATTGATGACTGACATTGTTAAGCATAAACTATAGATTTATGGATTGGATACCAAGAGCAACAGCTGTGCAGTAACTTTTAATAGTACCTCGGACTTTACAACACTCTGTTTTCACATTCACAGTATTTTATCCTCAAAGCCACATTCTGAGGCAGGCATTATCTCCATCTTGTGGACGAATAAAATGAGGCTTGATAAGGTAAGTACTTTGTTTCAAGTCTCCTACCTGGTCAGCTTTGGAGCTGGTATACAGATTCAGGTCTTCTAATGCGTTATCCATCCTCATAGTCGCTCATTCATCACAATTAAGAAAGCCCTTCAACCTTCATTATCCCACTCTATTTTCACGACACAATAGCACAGATATGTTTGTATCTCTTCTGGCTAAACGGCAATGGTATTTACCATGTACTGACTCCTTATTCCTTACGACGTGTCAGGCTGTGCATTGAGTTCTCCACAAGTATGATCTCCTTTGACTCCTACCACAATTCCATGATCCTCCATTTTAAAGGTGGGGAGCCTGAGGCCTTGAGAGGCTGGGAAATTTGCCCAAAGCTGCCCAGCTGTGGAGTGTTGCAGCCTGAGTTCTCACTCCAGACCCATTGGTCATCAGTCCGCCCAGTCAGGTCTACACAGGATGGTGCCAAGCCTTGAGTCAAGATTTCCCAGTCTTCCTACATCTAGCTTATTGGATTACACTTTTTTTTTTTTTTTTTTTTCCAATTTACAGGGCCTTGCTCATTTGCCTCAGCTAGAGTGCAGTGGTACAATCATAGTTCACTGCAGCCTCCAACTCCTGGGCTCAAGTCATCCTCCCTTGTCAGCCTCCAGAGTAGCTAAGAGTACAGGTGCACACCACCATGCTCAGTTAATTTTTTTTTTTTTTTTTTTTTTTGAGACGGAGTCTTGCTCTGTCGCCCAAACTGGAGTGCAGTGGCTGGATCTCCGCTCACTGCAAGCTCCGCCTCCCGGGTTTACGCCATTCTCCTGCCTCAGCCTCCCGAGTAGCTGGGACTACAGGCACCGCCACCTCGCCCGGCTAGTTTTTTGTATTTTTTAGTAGAGACAGGGTTTCACCGGGTTAGCCAGGATGGTCTCGATCTCCTGACCTTGTGATCTGCCCGTCTCGGCCTCCCAAAGTGCTGGGATTACAGGCTTGAGCCACCGCGCCCGGCCCCAGTTAATTTTTTAATTTTTTTTTTTTTGTAGAAACAGAGGGTCTTGCTTTGTTGCCCAGACTGGTCTTGAACTCTTGGCCTCAAGTGATCCTTCCACTGCACCTATCAGAATTATACTCATTTAATGAACACTTACTGAGTTCCTCTTTAGTGCTAGGCATGTTGCTGAGTGATAAGGAGGAAAATTTGCACAGAAGATGTTTCTGTGCTCGCAGAGCTCTCGGAATGACAGGAAGTGCCACGGCAACATTCACACTGTGTGACATTCACACTAAGTGTGACAGTGGTGTGTATGGAGTCCTGGGTGCCCGGGGTCACTGGCACACTGCTACATGGAAGCGTGTTTCTGAGAGGCAAAGGCAGTGTCATAGTCAGGGCCTGCTTGCACACTGGGTGCAGGAGGCACAGTGCTGAGGGCCCACAGTTCTTGGAGGAACCCACAAAAGTGTGTTGCTTTCTTTCAAAATCAGAAGAAAAAAAGTAAATTTTTAGGCCAAAGGCTTGGTCTTCGTATGTCAAACTCATATATTTGTCTTTACGCCAATGTGGCTGCAAATTATAATTTACACATGTACATTATTTTCTTTTTTTGGTGGAGGAAAGGTCTAGGAAGACAGAAATGCCCAAGGGCCCGCTAGAGTCCTAACGCACCCCCGATGATAGTAATTTATTGGGAGGCATAGCTCTTGCCTGGATTCCGGACCAGGTTTCATTCTGTGCTGTGGGACAGGTGACATGGGCTACGTGCTCCTTCAGTCCAGCTTCCAGGTTCATCAGGGTCTTTACCTTCGGGCAGTGCAAAGGCAGCACTCAGAGAGCAATTTTTTTTTTTTTTTTTTTTTGAGACAGAGTCTCACTCCATCACCCAGGCTGACATAGGAAGACAAAGCCTTTGGCCTAAAAATTTACCTTTTTTCTTCTGATTTTGAAAGAAATCAAAACACTTTTGTGAACTCCTCCAAGTACCGTGGGCCCTCAGCACTGTGCCTCCTGCACCCAGTGGGTATAGCACAGTAGTACAGTGGTGCTATCTTGGCTTACTTCAGCCTCAACTTCCTGGGGTCAAGGAATCCTCCCGCCTCAACTTCCCGAGTAGCTGGGACCACAGGTGCGCACCGCCATGCCTGGCTAATTTTTTGAATTTTTAGTAGAGACGGGGTTTTGCCATGTTGCCCAGGCTGTTCTTGAACTCCTGGGCTCAAGCGATCCTCCTGCCTCAGTATCCCAAAGTGCTAGGATTATAGGCATGAGCCACCACACCTAACCAAGAGCAATTTTTAATAGCAACAATGATGGTAATGATGGTAGCTCCATACCAAGTGCTAGGCACTGAGCTGAGAGCGTTCTAGTCATTATCTTTTCAGCACTTGCTAGGTTTCGGTGTTTTCATAATATTTCACAGCTGCAATGGGCTCTACTGCAGGGCCTGACTTTGTGCATGGGGGTTGAGAAGGAGAGCCTGGCATACCTATTGTCATCTGATAATAATATATATCTTATAATAATATATCTGTATATATAGAGATATAGTATATATACTCTATATAGAGAGGATATGTATATATAGTATATGTAATATAGAGAGAATCAGATGACTATAACTATATTTGTTTATATAATAAATATAAATATTTATATAGAATCAGATGACAATACATACAAATATAGATATTTGTTTATGTATACATAGAGAGAATCAGATGACAATATATACAAATATATATATATATATATGTTTTTCATTAGAAACAGGATTTCACCATGTTGCCCAAGCTGGTCTTGAACTCTTGGGCTCAGGCAATCCTCCTACCCCAGCCTTCCAAAGTGCTGGGATTATAGGCATGAGCAACCATGCCCGGCCCCCTTCTCATTCTTAAAATATTTTTTAAAATCTTAAAAAGCACCTTTTGCTTGTAAGAACTCTACTCACAGTTTTTATTATTATTTTTCTCAGTGGCAGGATGTCTTATGGGCATGTCTTGGAGGCTTTAGCTGGTAGGAGTTGGGCAAGGAAGAGAGAGAAAGGCACTCAAAGCAAAGACTTCCCAAGTATTGATAATAATCCGGATGATGGGGCCTGCACAGGTTGATTGTGGAGGTTCCTGAGGAAGTCCACTTGGGAAGGGGAGAACTTAGAGGTCTGCCATAGCGAGCCTACTGTCTCACTTTAGAACATCTGAAGACTTTCACACAAGACAAAACGAAGCACCTGAATGCCTTCGTCCTGATGAGCACCCACTAGCCTGGGCTCTGCGGACTTGCTCTCATGCTTGCATTTCCTTGCAGGTGTTTCGTTCAGAGACGCCCAAGACCTGAGGCCACTTGGGTTCATTGGCCTATTGATGGCCTTGGGTCTGTCTTGCCAGAGCACCTCCACAGTGTTTTGGAAACATGTGGGTTGGGATTGACCAAAACTGACATGACTAATGGCAACGTTACCAGGGTTTGGGTCAACTTTCTCTGACCATGAAAAGAAGAATCATTGTCTGTCCCTGCTGGGAGCCTCACATGTGCCAAGTTTATTTGTAATGTGTTGCTGGGGATATTCCTACCAATAATGAATAATTAAGCCCAGAATTCATTTTTGGGTCTTTGTTGGGTTTTTCTTTTCTTTCTCTTTCTTTTTGTGACTCAACCGTTAGCTTGTGTGGCAAATATAAAACTGAAATCTGGTAGTCACCCACTACTTAAAACGCCTTTAATGACTTCCTGCTTTCTTTAAGAGAAAGGCTTAAAACTTAAAATATTGATTAGTGACCCCTAGTCCCTAGGTAGTCTCTGTCCTACCCAGCTTTCCAGCCTCACTTCTGGCTCTGTACCCATTCTGGCTTCTGCTTTGCCCCCTGGACTACCCAGGTCTTCTAGTTCCGCAAATGTGCCCATGCTCTCCTGTGCAGGGTCTTCCCATCAGAAAAGAGCAGTCCTCCACCTAGATGGCTCTTCCTCCGTCTTCACTCCCAATTAACTCTGTCTCACTCTTTAAATCTCTGCTCAGATATTCCTTGTTTGGAGATGCCTTTCTTAACCTCCTCGGTTAGATGGTTAGGTTCAACGCTCTTAACCTTATTTTCTTTTTATTTTTTCTTTTGAGATGGAGTCTTGCTCTGTCACCCAGGCTGGAGTGCAATGGTGTGATCTCGACTCACTGCAACCTCCATCTCCCAGGATCAAGTGATTCTCCTGCCTCAGCTTCCTGAGTAGCTGGGGTCACAGGTGCATGCCACCATACTCAGCTAATTTTATATTTTTAGTAGAGACTGGGTTTCACCATGTTGGCCAGGCTGGTCTTGAAATCCTGACCTCAGGTAATCCACCGGTCTCGGCCTCCCATAGTGCTGGGATTATAGGCATAAGCCACTGCACCAGGCCCCTTATATTCTATTAAAGTATGTTGTTCCCCTTTATTGGAACTTTTATCCCAATTGTTTTGTCAAAACAAAATTGGAGTGTTTATCCCAATTGTTTTTTCAAACTTATTTTGTGATTCTTTGATTCATGTCAGTCTTTCCTACTAAATCCCCTGCCACAAGGGCAAGGACTATGTCTGGTGCCACTGACTACTGTCATCCTATAGGATGATAGGCATTTAATCAATATTTGTCCAATAAGTGACAAAATGACAAAATGAACAAATGACAAAAATGAATGAAAGATCGATTAGGGCAAACCAAACCCTCAGTGAGAGATTACAAAACAAAAAATTACTTGAATATACAAGTTATTTATTTAGAGAAAAATAGGGTTAGCACTATGATACCTAAATTATTCACAGAACACAGAGTTTTCTGGGGGGGAGGGGAGAATCCCATAACGAAGCAGCCTCACATACAAGATGATAGATGGCTATTATGTATTTTTTCCTTCTCTGTATTTTTCTTAACGGAAGCAAATGGAACTTTCCAAATATCACTGTATGATTGGAAAAAGTGAAGCAGTCCGTAGTGCCATTTTGGGGGAAGGAGGGGGAAGAAGGGGAAAAGAGTCTGAAAAGGGTTTATGTTTGCTAATGGAAGTCAGA